TCTCAGGTGGCTCAGCTTGGAGATTTATCGAGAAACATGTTCTGTGGCTGTCAGGGCACCTCAATGTGTCCGAGCTAATGTAAGTCGATTGGTTCTGACCCAGCACTGTCAAAGTATTGATGTCAGTCAATAGATATAGGTTCTTCCTTTAGGGAATACTGCTCTCTTGCCCAAGCCGGTGTGTGTTGGATGGTGTCCAACACTTGATCCTTCAACTTTTAGATCTGCTAGTTCACAAACTCTTGGGTGCACTCCATATTTCCAGTATCTTTACTTGGAGTTTTTTCTCTATGTGTTACTCCTCTTCTCGTCTGTGGCATGACTCACACTCATCGCTTATTTTAGGATGTTGAATTTTGATATGCCCGTGAATCACACCAAAGGAATAGAGCATAAAACTTGCTTTTTTTATTTTATCAACACTTTTTTTTCTTTCTTACAAGAACTGATCTCCTTATTTATAGGGGATTAAGTATTATCTAGAGATATTAAATTTTTGACATTACTTTAATGAGGGTGTTAAAAGATATTCTTGGTATTTCGTAGCTGTGATGTATTCGACCGGCTTCATAGGCCTTGGTTCATCTGAATTTATATTGTCAGCTTTATGAGTTTTGGTTCATCTGAATGCATCCGACCGACTTTGTAGGAATGATTCGTTTGAATGTATCTAATCGGCTTTGTGAGCCTTTGGGACTTCTGTTGGTGGACCTTCCTTTGTCATTCTCGTCTACTTCAGATCACCAGATCTCTTCAGGATCAACATGATCATATTTTTATATACAATTATATCATTATTATATTATTAAAATTAAATTCAATTAATTTTAATATTTATTATGTTATACGATTTAACTATTAGTTCGATCTTAAGATTTTCCTATTAAATTGTTGAACAGTTAAATTTCTTTTTTTCTTGTAAGATATTATCACATCATTGGTCCCTATATACACCGCATTTGTCGGTGTGAATCTTAAAGCATTCAGACTATCTAGGCGATGGCTAGACAATCAAGACATCCTACCATCCCAAAACTAACTATATGATCAAAGAATCGACTGACATGTTGCGGCGAGAGACCTGATGTTGACCTCACTTTTTGTTGAGGTCTAGTCTTTTTTCCTCAGATGCCTAAGATCTAGCCATAGGATTTTCCTGTTGACTATTTCTAAAGGTTTATTAAGGGAACCCTCACCATTAGGAATTCTAAAACTCTTCTTTGATCATCTTGAAGTTCCACATGTTGGTTATAGCCTCTAGCCCTTAGTAGGTGGAGCCAATATGAGGGAGCTCAAGGATAGTCTCTATAGAAAGTATGGCCTTAGGGTTAGCCCCATGCGGTATGGTCTTGGTCTTGCACACATAAACTTTCACTTTTGACCTAAACCCTTAACCAGACATGCTTAGCATGATCCCCTATTCTTTTGGAAACTCATGTGGATGGTGCCCCAAACCCTTAGCCCTAGGCTAGGGTTTGGCTAAGACCAACACATGGAGGATCCAAAATGGGAGCTCCCTTGGTTTCATGACACCATAAGGGTAATTTTAATGGATAACATCTTCAATTGATCTCATAAATACCAAATTTTGGCCTTTCACCCCCAAAATTTCCCAAAATTACTTTCCCAAAATTATCAAATTACCCTTGAAACCCTAAAATTCTCAAAATTACCCAAATTACCCAATTTGCCAAATTTACCCAATTTTACCCAAAAAACATCTCAAACCATTTTAAACAACTAAAATTGCCTAAAACACCCCAAATTTTCAAAATTCCCAAAATACCCCTACAATCATGGCCAAAAAAATCCCAAAACGTCCAAAATTATTCTAAACACTCCCAAAACCAATTATAACCATCCATTGAGCCCAGTTTGACCAAATTGACCAATTTTAACTAAAATCTCAATTTTATCCCTAAATGCCTAAAGTTCCCAAATTACCCCCAATTTCTACCAAATTGATTTCAAATTTCCCCAATTTCAAATCTAAACTCAATTTCATCATGTCTAAGCCAATTTTGAACCAAATTCAAGCCTAATTGAACCCAATTTTATAATTGAACCCAATTTAAATTCAAGCCTAATTGAACCCAATTTTAAACCCAAATTGCAAGCCTAATTCAAATGCCATAAATTGACTTTAAGCCAAAATTCCACCAAATTGAATGCCCTAACCTATCCAATTTTCCCAAATTTATTTCCTAAACTCTCCATAACATTCCTCTAGACCAAATTGAACCTTCAATTAGCCTTGACCTAGCCTCAAGCCTAGCCCAAATCCAACCCCCCATTTTGCCTCAAAGTCAAAATTTCTTCAAATTAAACCTCATAGCCTTATACTTTTCAACTAAATTGATGCCCAAACACATCATGACAATCTTATACATTAAATTGACCATTAAATTGGGCCAAATCGAAGCTCTAATCCTACCCAAACCCAAGTCCAAGCCAAATCATGGATTTTGAACCCAAGCTCTAAACCCACTTGGTTCAACCCATCTTAGACCATCATTTCTGACATTTGGACCCTAAGAACAAGCCTAGATTCTCCTAGTCTGCCCTAGAAGTGCCATAGACCAAGGGTCCCATGATTTTGGGGATTCCTTCCCACTTTTAGCCAAGTGACCTAATCTTGAGCTCAACTGATTAAACCCCCATCTTGATCACAACTAAACCTCCCCCTTGGTTTTTTGAGCCATCTAGCCACCTCCACTGGTCTGACCAGCCGACCTAGTGGCCTAAAAACAAAAAATCGAGAGAGACTCCCTTTTGGTTTGAACCTAATTAAACCCATCCTATGTGGCTAGCTATGATTGTCCATTGACATCGTTCAACCCTCCACCTAAGCTCCTTTCTCCACCCCCTGGCTTGGCCAATTAAGCTCTAACTCCCCCTCTATTTAAACCACCTCTTTCACAGCCAAGAAGAGAGTGTTGCCATTTGCTTGGGGAGAGCCCTCTAAATTGTTCACAAAGCCTCTTTGAGCCTTCCTAAGATCATTCCAACCATTTTCCCCCACTGAAATCCATTGCCTAAGCTTAATTTTGAGCTCAAAATCTAGGGGGTTTTTTGTCACTCCACCAAAACTCCACAAAACTTCAAATTTTACCACCCTTGAGCTTCCCCAGACTAAACGAGGAAGTTTCCCATCAAAACCGAAGCACAGGCATGAACCTCTTGGTCCTTGTTAGCCGACCAACCCGCTTTTGCCACGACAGATGAAATCATCATTTGACCGAATGCCTTGGTTGACCAAACACAATTCACAATCACCATCTAGTTGTTTGTCTCAGTCAGCCAAATTCTAGCAAATCGATCAGCCAATTACAGTCATATCAAAATTCAAATTGTAGTACAAATATGAAATGAAATACATGCGGTTGACCAAACACAATTCACAATCACCATCCAGTTGTTTGTCTCAGTTAGCCAAATTTTAGCAAATCGATCAATCAATTACAGTCATATCAAATTTCAAATTGTAGTACAAATATGAAATGAAATACATGCAATTAATTAGAGCATTAATGATATTAAGAATAATTTCCATAACTGTTCCCTCATTTTTATAATTTTACAAAATTTGTCGTATAAATAAGAGATAAATACGAATAAAAGGACACTTCTCTGTTTTCTTCACAATAACTCTTGCTTCATTTTTTTATTCTCTCTACTCTCTTCTCCGATTTTCTTCACAATAACTCTTGCCTCATTTTTTTAATTTCTCTACTCTCTTCTCCTTCACTTAGCTCCAACTCTTGAGGTGTGTTTACAAAAATTAATTAGGATCGAACAGTCTCCCACATCGGCCATCATACCACAATTTCAAGCACATAACTTTACAATTATTATAATTAAATTTTTCTATAATATCTTTTTTTAAAAAACAATATAACTAAATCTAAATCATTTCATTGCATTCCCCGCAAGATACGAAACGCATCGCAATAATTCCTACTTCCCGGCGATTCATTGAAGGCTATTCCCGTCATTTTGAAAAAAAGAAATCATTAGGGAACGTTTACGACGTCAGCACGTGCATCAGCTCCAGGCACAATATCAACCCCCACCTCCCCCAACGCAGGGGAACCACTCCACCACTCCACTTTAAAGTAAAATGGCTCTCCGTAACCTCCTCGCCGCCGTCCTCCTTCTCTCCGCCGCCGTCACCACCCTCTCTAGCTTCGAGGATGAGAACATTATCCGGCCAGTCACCGATCGGTTCGAGTCGATTTAGCCGGCGATCATCCCAGCCCCTGGGAACACCCCTCCA